ACTGTTTTGTTTGACTGGCAGTTTAGAAAACATTGAGGGCAAAGGACAGATGCGCGTACAAGCACACAAAAGCACTCACAAAAATGTGCAGCATGCTTCTGCCGCGTATTTCTGCCCCATAGACTTTCCATTGAAGTCTATGAGGCAGGAATGCACTGTTAACCGACCAAAGAAGCTCATGTACCTTTTCAGGCATTTGGCGTTTTCCTGCTGGAGTGTTGCTGCTTAGGTGTGCACAGGTCCCATTGAAAATCATGGGATTTCTTGTGTTAGGCATTTAAAAGTACTTTTCCCAACTGCTAAAAAATGCCTAGGTGTGAACCAGGCCTTAGGGTACTTGAATGTATTTTTAAGATTTTACTTCTGAGTTTAGTGTCACTTTAAAGGAGAAAACATTTGCTTTGACTATTAGAGATGTGATACGTTGTAGTTCTGCTGTGGATCACACGAAGGTTTTGTAATTGTAATGAGGAGATACATATTTCATCATCATTCATTATACACAGCTGTGTTTATAAGTGCTGAAAGAGGAGAGAACACACACATAAACAAGCCAACAATTACTACGCCAAAAGCATCCAGGGATTTGATAGAAAACGGACGAAAACAATATATTTGATGTCTTTCAGATGGGAATCTTGGCCAAATATAACCATTTTATACAAATAGAGAAATGTAAATAGCACGGCTTTTTTAACATGTTTATTTATAAGTAACAATACTCAAAAGAAATTAGATGATCATGACCAATCAGGGTGATTACTTCTGGATTTCAGCAGACAACACTTGGCAAGGGAATTTGAATGAGTTGGAATGTTTGGACACTAATCTGCCCTTCCTCCAGGAGAAGAATGTTGCTGGGGAGTTGTTGCTTTGTGCTCAGATTATACATTTTATAGATGATGGATAATTGGTTGCTAGGGGGATCTTCATTTTGACTTATTAAATAAACACAAGCTCACACTTCAGAGCATGAATGTGCAACTAGGTTGGGCCGACAAACTGAGCATATGTTGTCAGGAAGGGTTCTCCCTCACCAGCAAAATAATGCTCAGCTGCTCATACATGGTACAATTGGTTTGTTTTTTTGCCCATAGGATGTACCTCCTCAATGTATTGACAAATGTACTCACTTTGCCCTATGAATATGCACTTCCTTCTGTCACAACTTTTACACAGCGTGCCATCTGAACTCCCAACTCTATTTTGGAACAATGTAACATTATCATTGCTTGCTGGAAACAAAGCATGATAGGATATGTAGTCTTAAGAAATTGCAGGAAAAGAGTCGCTAAGCACTCTGGGAAGTTGTTGATAGTGATGGGCAGACAGAAGGGAGCACCCACCAAATAAAAGGGATTTTGATTTGATTGAAACAACTCTAGTAGTATTCCTATTACAATGCTGATGTTATAACAGGATAGTGTATACTGGGACTTTACAACTTCTTTGAAGTAAACTAATGCAGCCACCACATGGAAGTACTGGTAAGCTACAATATATTACATTCTTGTTCTTGGGTTTGGATACGTTTTAACACTTAACCCCAAACATAATGTAACTTTAATCTGATAGGATGAATAAACATGGACAAGGCTGTTGGTCATGTGTCCAGCACTGGACAGAGCTTGGTGCAGCATTCTCTCCAGGAGCCTTCCAATTCCTAATAATTTCTTCATCCCAGAAAGTTTTGCTAATAAAGTTTCAGTTAAAATACATATACTGTAGGTCCTCTTAAAAACTGTGCTACAACATTGTAAACAGTGTTTTATTTTATTGTAAAATTCAGGCTTGTATGCAATTACTGTACCTATTTGATGTAGGAGTACACAAATTGTTTTTGGAACATTTGTTCAATCTCTGCATTGTAAATGGGGTCAAATTGGTGATCGATTTCGACTGCAGTGACAAAGAAAATCGAAGGAAAAGAATGGATATTTTTCTAACAGGATCAAAATTCTAACAGTGAATGTGGTTTTCATTTAGGACACTCCATTCCTTTAATTTTAAAAACAAATGAAATTTCGACCGACATTCGTTAAGTCTCTGATGAGATTATCAACAGGGTTATTCACAAAAGGGTGAAGAGTTGGGAGAAGGCAGGAGAAGTGGAAAGTGAGCTGAATTGGAGAATGTTTCCAGTTCAGCTATGTTGTCCTAGATTGCTCACTTCTCCTGCCTTCTCCAAACTCTTCACCCTTTTGTGAATAACCGTGTAAATGTTCTGACAATATTTTTCATATGAATGTTCATATGAAAATCTACCAGTGCTTGACCAGATCATAAAAGAAACATAAACAACGACCCTATTTGTGGCTTGCGCTAGTTTAATATATGAAAAAAAAATTGCTATCTTTTCATCAGGCATCATTGCTATGCCTGATGAAGGGACCCTGTGTGGCCCCGAAAGCGCTTGTGTAACTGACATGAGTTTGCAATAAAATCTACGAACTTTGATCCTATAAGGATTTGGTGTGCTGGTGACGTTTCTGCAATTATAGTTTAATATATGACCCCCTTGTACAGGCTAATGGCAGTAAAAGTTTAAATGGCTTTTTTACAGCAGTGTGTGTGCGCCCTCTACTGGAGAAAAACAAGCATTTATTACCTGAGAACTGGACATTCCAAATCTTTGTAATGAGTGTTTTCAAAAGTTTTCTCTTCTTTACTTCTAATCAGACCGTCTACAGCATTAAATAGCTGATAACAATAAACTAAAAATAAATACATTTAAATATCTTAAGTGTTCCATTTACCTAGTTCCCAGACTGCCCAAACAAAAGGTTTAACTGCCCATTAAAGTGCCAACTTGAATCTATTCAATCATATTCCATCCACTAATAATCTCAGAGAGGATTGCAAGTAATTGCCAGAAACCAAGCAGTACAAGTTCGATGGACCACCAGAATTCTATTTATAGTGAATTTAAAACTGGGCAATAAATTGAAAACTTCAGCACAGTTTATTGAAAGATCAAAACAAAAAACAGAAAAAAAAAAACTAGGGATCAGATTTTTCTGTTCATTCAGAGGAAATGTTGATCCAATCTCTATGCATGTGATCAAAACCACCATTTTTATGTTTTGTTAGCTTTGCAATTTTGACCAAAAAATAAAATGGAAAGTTTGATTACTCTATCAAGTTGCTAAGTGTATAGCGAGCTTTGGAGCCTGACTCCAGACAGTTTGGGGAACATCGATTTGTGGACCGGTTACAAGTCCTGAACTAGTTGAAAGGCATGTATAATCTGTCCACAGTCCAATGCTTAGAAATAGACATGCCGATGAGATCAGCTTTAAATGACCTTATTACATTAATAAGATAAATAATCTTATCAGTGTGTGTTAATTTGTTAAAGACCTTGTTTTTATGTACAGTTTCTAATTACATCTTTGGCTGCCCATTACTGTGGCTGTCCATTTCTGATCAGTCCTTCAATGGAAATCTATAAGAGTGCTGATCCATTGTAAACAATACACTCCCTGTGCCAGACAAACCATACATGAAGCCGTGCCATGCAGTGCGCCAAGTATATTTGTGCGCACAAACGTGTGCACAGAGCTCGTAGTAATTAAAGGTCCCTCAGGGTCCTCTTACTGCACAGTGACAGAGCAAGCTATAGCAGCCCTCTATCACTCCATCTCCTTTCTCCCCCTGCAGTCATGAAGTGATCACCAGAGGAGAGAAAAGTGCTGGCACAGAGCAGAAAGGAGCTGCCCACTCCTCTGGTCTTGGCACTTATTACAGGGAACCTTTCAGTGGCCTCCTCTCCTCTGCTCAGTTAGGCAGAGGGAGGGAGGAGACAGCTTTCTTCAGCTCAGTCACCCTATGTTAAGCATCTGTACAATCAGTTATCAGAGGAAGTCAGCCCAATGTGCATTTCTGTGCCTGTAATCAAAGTAGCTTAAGCCCCTTAGGACATGGGTGGACAACTAGCAGCCCTCCAGCTGTGCTTTAAATACAATCCCAACTCTGGGAGTCAGGTAAATTAAGTCAGGTAAAGAAAGGTAAATGGAGTCATTTAAATCCCCAAGAGTTTGGGAGGGTGCCAGAGGGTAAAATATTAATCTTAACCCTTGCAGTGGAGCTACCCCTGCACTGCAAGAGTTAAGTGCTTGTTTTCATCTAGGGTGTGAAATACAAAAGTTATACTCACCTGAACCCGAGCCGGCTGGCTGCTAGACTGGTCCCTGCCGCCTCCCTCATCCTCCGATCCAGCGATGTAATGCCTCTCAGCATGTTCACATCTATTACACTGTATAGGACGTGTCTGCCGGAGCGAAGGAAAGAGGCTGCAGGGACCGGTCTAGCAGCCAGCTAGCTCAATGGTTCAGGTGAGTATATTCCTGTCCAAGATAGGCAGATCGTACGTTTTTTTAATCCCTGTACAACCATCGCAAGACTAAAGTCTTGCGATGGTTGTAGAGTATATGGCCACCTTTATTGTACACCCTATACAAAAAAAAAAAACCTGAGCACTTAACCCTTGCGGTGCTGGCGCAACCCCGCTGCAAGGGTTTAAGATTATTTTGTCCCGGAGTTCTTCTTTATCATGCGTAGCATTTAGCAGCCAGTGATTTGCATGGGAAGAAAGGGTTAACAAAGGCATCACATAACAGCCAGTGAGTCACATGGAGAGGCAGAGTAACCTGCAGAGTGAATCACATGTAAGGAAAGGGTTACCATGGGCATACTGCAGCAGGAAGTGTTTTACATTGGAGGAAAGGGTTAACATTAAGAGCACACGGCACAATGTGATTCACACAAGAGGAAATGGTTAACTGGTAATGATTACTTCCGCAGCATAAAGGCGCCCTGACCTATACGGATGCTTGGCCACGCCCAGGTTGGATCATGTGATCGTCGATCATGTGATTCACCAAAGACGACTGCTCATGCGCAATGTTGGAGATGGTGTGCGGGAGCGCGCATAGGAACCCGGACACAGCTAGGACATAAATGCCTGCATGTCGTTTTTCATGGCACATTGACACTATAAACATTGTACTGAACGTGTCCGTTTTGTACAAGGTGAGGTCAGTATCATCACTGTGTGGTGTGATTCGCCTTGCTGGTCACAGATGTGAAGGATTACTAAATGTAGCCTACCCAATGTATACAAAGCACCAGAGGCACGGCACTGCCAGCCATATGCGCTGTCACTGCAGAAGCATCCCATGTCTTATCATTTGCCTTCTCCATTAGTCAGATTTCTTATCACTCACGGTGGAGCAGTGAGCCTCTTGCTGGCTGTCAAAGGGGAGAGATGGGGTGGGGCTATGGCTGCCAGAAATTCAAAAAGAACCACCGCCAGTTGATAAGGAAAGGAGGTAATGAAAACCGACTAAGTTAGTGTACAGAGACAGTATTAAAGAACTGTTTTTTTAATACCATGTTTTAAAGGGCAGTTTGAGTGTGCCAACTCCCCCGATCCTCCCATCACTGGTAGGTAGGATGCTGTCACCTGCATAGCTTCATTGGATGCAGGCTGCCATTATCTTAGCAACCTTTGACAAAGTGCTGAACACTGCCAATGAGTGGAGCCTGATAGGCATAATAAAAGACTCAGGTCCACCTTTCTTGTGATTGGCAGTGAGCAAATCCCATAGTCACCAGCCTGTAATGATGGTTCCACAGCAGCTAGAGACATCCAAATACTGCTTAGACAGCATATTAAGAGTTTTTGCATTGCATATACTGTTTTTATGGGGGGTTTTCAGCCAATTTGTAAATTATTGGAAAAATTATGTTGACAGCCAAACTACAGTGATACTTTTTTTTTTTTTTTGGAGCGTGAAAATAAAAAGCAGGGTATAACTGTTATCTCCCTATGCACTGTTCTGTTAATTAGAATGCCCAGCTAGCTCTCCAACCCAGCACAAGGCTATGTGTCAGAAGATTTCTTATAGACATCTGTTAAACAATCCTTGTAGATGGGATAGAGCAGAGACTCTCGCTAAGGGAACTTCACAATATGACGGACAGCACAGAGTGTGATGGTTCTTCTAACCTTACCCTAGGGTTATATTTGAGATTTTTTTTAAATTAAAGTTGCATGACTAAAATCTAATGAGACTGATCTTACTGGCTGCATCTTGTTAGTTTTAAGGAGAGATGCTATGCATCTTATTTGTAGTTGCATGACTAAATGATCCAGCTCCCGCTGATCACACATTGCCACAAAATAGTCTTATCAAGTATTCCTTAGCCCCCTCTATAAAATGAATGGGAGAAAGCTTGTCATTTTTCCACAAACCAGGGTGATTCAAACAGAGCAAATGATAAGAAAAATATTTAAGTGAAAACTGCATGTCAAACAATCACTAGATCCGGAGCTATGGACATGTGAAATATGTAAAACCAGAGTTTTCCTGTAAAAGTCATGGTTGGCTCTGCCCACTTGTGTATCCAGTACTTCTTTGGTTCCAATATTTCATTTGAGGCCTCCTTTGCCTGCCTCAAACTGATGTCAAAAACATTCTGCATTAGCCCATTAAAACAGACTCTAAAGTGTATTTGAAGGGAAAACGTATTATTAGTTTTGCAGGAAATGCACAGTTGTCAACATATATGGAAAATAATTTAAGATATCAAAGAGGATGCCAAACAGGCATGTGTGCGTGGCCAAAATAAATGTAGACAAAGTATTTCTTGTAGTTTGGCAACTTCTGCTTTGCTATGTTTTAGACAATAGGTCAATTGAATAGAAAGTGGCAGTAAATTAAGCCTGTTGTTAGTATCAGTGGCAGATTGAATTAACCCCTCAGCATTTGTGTCAGTGGCTGGAATGAAATTCTTCGGCATTGAAACATTGGCAGTAATAATAACAGCCCTCCATTTATTGGGGTTAGAGACAGTAGCAGCAATTCTAAACCATGCCCACCCTTCAATAGTGACAATAATAAACCCACACCTTATTGGTGTACACGTCAGTAATAAGAGTTCCCTTTCATTGGTGTCAGTGAC